TATCAAAGGCTTTCTTAAAGTCTAAGAATAGGACTGATACAAGGAGTCCGCTGTCTCGTTTCAGAGTTATATCATTCAGGTAGTCTACTGGGCATGTATCGCATAATCTGGACCTAAGAAATCCATGCTGGGAGGTCGAGATGAGATTATTAGTTAGTAGATGTTGGACTACAGCCGCCTTAACTACTTTTTCCATCACTCTGGATACCACTGAAGTTATGTTTATAAGCCGGTAATTTTCAACGTTTGCTTCAGGTCCTTTTTTAATTTTGGGAATGGTATGTGTAGTTTTCCAGGCAGCAGGGTAACACGCTGAAGAGAGTGATATCGCGAATATTTTGAGAAGCAAAACACACATATCATCATCTCCACGTTTTAGCATGCTAGATGGAATACCATCTGGTCCATCAGTGTAGGAGTGTTTTAATCTACTGATTGCCTTGGAAATATTTTGTACATTGAATTCTACATTAGTAATTTCACAGGGAGTTACTGGGATTGATTCTGAATCATTAAATGGCTTTTCGTTAGTTAGTGAGAAACAAAAATGTTCACTAAATAATTCTGTGACAAGTTATGGGAACTTCGTACACTTGTTTGCCTTTAATGAATATGCTCCCTCTCGATTTAGAGCGTTTAATTTTATTTTGGATTAGTATGGTGAGCGCAGGGGAGTTATTATTAAGTTCAACTGCACGTTTTTCCTGTGCTACTGCTTTTTGTTTACTTATTGCCTCTGTTCGGACAAGTATTTCTGTCATCGTTACTAAAGAGGAAAAGTCATTTAAGTTATGGAATCAAGTACAATGTCTTTGAAGACGTCTTCTTGTACTGACCGGTATATAGAGATCTATGGAGAACGTAGGTTTACAGTATTCTAAAAGTGCGATGTTGTTGATGATACTTTTGATGTTGTGATAAAAGATATTGGTTAGTGTGTCGGTATTGTTTGAGGTAAAGAAAGTCCTCCAATCAGTGCTTCTTTGGTAATTGTGGAAGTTATCCCAATCAACCTTGTGATAGTTTCTACGAAGTGTTACGGTTTTACTTCTATCGGTTGTGGTTTTTACATTAAGGCTGCATATGACAATGTTATGATCACTACCTGGGAACTTTTTTCCAATATACAAAGTATTGGGGATGAGGCCACTGGTAAAGACTAAGTCTAAGATGTTTTGATGTCTGGTAGGGCTATCGACATACTGAGTCCATTGTCCAAGCTCTAGACATTCAATAAATGATTCATAACGTCTCGGTGCTGGCAGCCAAGAAATTTTGGGCATATTGAAGTCACCACAAATGAGCTTGCCTGTGAATGAGAGGGATGATGCTAGTGTGAATACCTCCGATAATACTGCTATTTCATCTGTTGATGCGTTAGGTTGACGATAAACACAGCCGAGCAGTAAGGTAACGGAATTCGACGGCTTTAATACAATCCACACCGAATCCTTCAGTTTGTTTAGTTCAGGCATATCGCATAGCAATGAGTTTAGGCTAGAGTGAGCGTAAATAAGGCATCCTCCGCCTCGTCCATTCAATCTATCGCTTCTATATAGAGAATAGTTATCAAGAGATATACTTCGGTCGGAAATATTACTGTTAGTCCATGCTTCAGATATAATAATTGATGGTTGATATATGGATACAAACGGCTAAATCCGTCTTTTTGTTGCAGATCAATCGAGCGTTGATAAGACATATATTAAGCAAGTGGCCTACTAAGTTAAAATGGGTGAGGGTATCTCGGATAAAGTCGTCGTAACCCTCGCGGGTGTGAGATGAGTTTGATGTGAGGGATTGGATGTTCTTCATTAGCTCGGTATTTTGATAGCTAGACTTAGTGGGAGATGTATCAAATGAGCTGGTGAAGTTGATTGGGGAGTTTACCCAGGAGGAAAGGGTGGGAGTACTCTCTGATGGAAACTGTACGGAGGAAACAAATTTACGGTTTGCATATGGTTTGAAATAACCTGGGCTATATGCTTCAACAGAGGTGTCACTAGGGGTCTGACACCAAAAAGATCTTGTACAGGCCTAGTGTGAAGTGTATGGCTATTTACAAAATAGTCTTGATGGTTAGACTCGTAGCCCCTGTTATGGCTATTTACGTTAGCGTGCATCGGTCCAGGTTGCCATACCTCATTAGCACAGCAAGATGAACACCGGATTCATAAAAGTAGTTAATTCAGAGGTGGTAATATATAGGAGAAGGATTGCCAGAAGGATATAGTATAGGAAGAAAGAATTAGTTCGTAGAAAGAAAGATATGAAGCAATTTTAATCTCTTAGTTTAAGGGAATACAGGGAGTGTATACACTGACGCCACTGTGATCGATTCTGAGCCGTCACCAAGAGTCTCCAACCATTGGTTACGAAAGTCACGCGGACCCCAACCAAGTAGTCTGCATCTACCAACATGGCTCAGACTAGAAGTTAGTGACTTCAGGCACTGATGCCACGTTTTGGTTTGGCCGCCCCTAACTTTCTTCCAACCATCCCCTACACCGGTTAGCATTGCACGTCGTGGTAATCGGTGTTCGGGCATACGTAACACGTGGCCCAACCATCTCAGTCGATGAAGATTCATAACCTCATCAACTGATTTACCATCATTCCCTAATACCCTGCGTCTAACCTCACTATTACTTACCCGGTGATCCCAGCAGGTGCCAGCAATATTTCTAAGGCATCTGTGGTCAAATACTAGTAGCTTACGGGTGTCTTCTACTCTTAAGAACCATGTTTCGCTGCCGTAAATTAAAACAGAACGAACTGCCGCGCAGTATACTCGTCCTTTTATTGATAGACGGATATCTCGCCTCCGCCAAAGGTGACGTAAGTTGGCAAAAGCCAAACGAGCTTTTCGAATCCGTGCTGAGATTTTGTCAGACACCAACCCATTAGGGCTGATCAGACTTAAAAGATAAGTGAAGTTGTCAACGCGTTCGACGACTACTTCACTCCCTATCCTTAGTTCAGGTGTTGACCCAGACCAGTCCTGAAGCAACAACTTGCATTTAGAGGGAGAGAAGCGCATCCCAAACATTCTGGCATTGTTGCTTAGTGCTACTAGAAGACTCTGCATTTTGTCAGCGTCTTCACTAAACAGGACTATGTCATCTGCGTATTCTAAGTCGATAAGTGGACCTCCTGGAAGGAGATCAATACCCGAGAATTCAGTCGACGAGAGTGTTATTTCCATCAATAGGTCTATGATGAAGTTAAACAAAAATGGAGAAAGTGGGCAGCCTTGACGGACACCACTTGAGGTTGCAAAAGTAGATGTCGATTCGCCATAAGCCCTGACTCAACTAGTAGTGTTCGAGTAAAGAGCCTTTACAAGGTTTATGTACTTCTGAGGTACGCCTTTCAATGACAGACACTGCCACAGAGTCTCGCGGTCTACAGAGTCAAATGCTGCTTTTAAGTCAAGAAAGACCACCATCGTCGGACGCCGATAGGTATGCCTGTGTTCTAGAACCTGACGAATGGTGAATATGTGGTCGATGCAGCCACGACCAGGTCTGAAGCCAGCTTGAGTCTCTCGGGTTTGCAGTTCACGAGTCTTAGTTAGGCGTTTGATAATTATCGAGGCTAGTATTTTAGATACTATATTAGTTAAACTAATCCCTCTGTGGTTGTCACAGGATGATTTTGACCCTTTCTTATATATTGGGACGATAAGTGATTGCGACCAGTCAGATGGGATAAAGTCTAATTCCCAGAACTCATACTATGTGCAATTCATAATGTGTATGTTCGTGGATTTTACTGAGCAGCTGATTTTGTATGAATACTGATAATAATAGTTGTCTTACCTGAAAAGTAATAGGTATAGGAGAGTGCAAGCCTGTAAATTAATAGTCTCAGCCCGAATAGTCCAACTATCAACCAACGACTGCGTAGATCATTAAATGTTGCAGTTGGGAACTACTGTTATCATTGATAATTCGACCACGAGACGATTCGCCAACATCCTGTATTTATAAAAAATCGGGAATAACTTTGCTTTACATATTACTACAGTGATATACAAATGTATTGCTCTATCAATTAATTGATTTCTACAATACATATTGACAGGATGATTATTTTGTTTCTCGGTGAAGGGGGTTGGATATGTTCTTTTTCACTTATCTATAATCATGTAACTGTTTGGAAAAGCTTGTTTTCAACAAGATAAATAATTTGACTTATTTACTAACATGAAAACTGTTTTTGTTTTTAAGATCATGAACCGATTGATGTTAGACCACCATTGAAAACTTGGAAGCACTGGATAGACGTTTCGTTTAACATCAATTGGTTCATGATCTCAATCAAAAACTTAATAATTTCCACAACCCCATACTGATGAAAACTGTTTTGTCGAGAGATTTATATTAAATGTGGAATTATTAAAATGTAATGAAGTAATGGGAAATTAAAATTAAATAAATATCCTCATATCTGTGTTTTAATAAGTTCAGTCCAATGACCCAGTGATCTATAACTACTAGAACTACTATTTCGACTTGTTTTATTTTAATCCTGGTTATTTTCTGTTAATTTGATGATGTACATGTTTCACAAATTGAGATGTTGCATAATGATACCGAGATAAGCTGTGTGTGAGAATCGCCTATCATTAATTAACATATAATTCCCATTTAAGTATTAAAAAACCTAAAGTTCAGCGAAGGGATATATTCTCAACGAATTTATTATTAAGCTCTACTCGGTTTAAAGTAGTTGAAAAATGACTCATTGATGTCTCTTAAACGGTCCTACAAACAGCGGTAACCCAGTGTTTACGTCATTCTACCTTGAAACAGTTGTTCATCCAAATCTCACCTAATTGGGTAATTGGAACATTGAGTAAGTTTTTACATTTAGGGCTTGTGGAGATTTCTGAATTCCATCAAAATTATGAACTGATCTAAGTTAGACTACGATTGAAAACCTGGAAGCACTGGAATGACGTTTCACGTGGACGCCTAACCTCCAAACTACTGATCCGACATCTAACGGTGTTACTGCTTAACTTTAGTCAGTTCACAACATTGCATAACCATCTTCCACTGCCTTCGGTGGGTAGTTGCCTCACACTGAATAGATTGTCCTACACAACAAAACAGTCTCTTAAAGTCACTAAATACGTAAACCAGTGCTTGATTACTGAGTTGTGGTTAGTAAAATCAGATATCAAAGTGATTACTTCAAAATGTGTACACGTTAGTAGTAGTGGAGTTATTGATGGATTAAACAGAGTGGTAAATATAAACGTGACAACATTTTGATGTTCTTGTTCGTAGCAGTTTGTAATTTCTCGTTGTTGACGGTCATGATTAAATCTAATCAGAATATATTCATATACGGGAAACTTGAATGAATGTTTCGATGCAATGACTGCAATCACAAGTTAATTATATGTTTTAGATAGTGTTTAATAATGTCATCTCAGAAGTGAGTTTCGTCCTGTTTGGGGCTTAATAGCTTGATACACCTTCTTCCTCGAAATGATTTTCTCAATGATGTTTAATCCTAACTATCGTCCCAAAAAGAGCAACAAAGGGTATTTAATCGTGTTGAAATATTGAGCACATAGTACGTCGAAAAAAATAATCTATTATACAAAAAGTTCTCAAATATGATACTATTTCTTCTTACATGTATTATGTGAATTCAACAGTTCCAATGGGGTCTTCCACATGATTGTTATGTATGGAAATATATAGACTCCAGTAGATAAACTACTTAATGTGACGTTTCTCGATGTGAATGTCTTGTTCATATGTTCATATTGTTCTGTATTAAACAGTACTAGTGAACTGATTGATGATGATGTTGATATTTCATCGAATGACTGACGTATCGATTGGTTTAGTTGAGTAGAAGCTGGTAACTTAATGGTAGACAGTTTTTCAGGGATCTCTTTTTCATGTTTCTGTTCATACTCATGGAATTGTTGTTGTTTTTCTGTCGTTTGATGAACATTCGATTGCTGATAACCGTGATTTGGTTGATTATGACTATGGTACCGCCTATGAATGTATCGATCCGTACGAATATTTGAATTCAATGTATCAAGTAAAATTAATGTTTGTTTAGTTGGAGGTAATGGACTAATTAGAATTACTTGATTAAATGTTGAGGGTATTTCACAATCTGTTGCATAGCTATGAATAGATTGGAACAAAATAGCATAAAATAACACTAATAACTGCTGAAATAAGTAATATACTTATTTAAAATTATGAAACGGTATCACTAATTCCCTTTTGAAACTTTCCCTGAAAGTTCGGATACATTCAAAATAGATTTATTCAATCAACATCTTCGGTGAATTTCAGAAGTTAACATATTTATGTTCCCAGTGTAATCTGATTGATCATGCACACAAATCACTTCTTATAGTACCAACCCAATAGTCTAGAAATAGTATATTCAGCAACACCTGAAGATTTATGTTTAGGTCGTAAGTAAGGATTACTAAGTATTTCCATACAGTAGGTTGAAGCAGCGGCTGTGTGCCTTTTGATTTTCAATAGTCGTTCATAAATAAATTCAGTCCTTAGTCAAATGTAAAAGTAGAACAACCTACTCAAATCTTTTATGCTAATAAGTATTCCTTTATCTTACTTTTATTCTTCTTTTGATCGATATTTTTTTCTTTGCTACCGTGCAATTTGAAATCACTTAGGAGTATCACTCAACCTTTCTAAAGATAACTGACTGTTTCATGAATAATGTGTTACGATTCAATAATTTAAGTAGGAAAATAAATAATTACGCTACAATTCACCTTGATGAAACGAAAATCCGTTAAAGGACACTTTATACCTGCTTCTCACCAATGAGAAAAATCTTCCAAACTAAAAAAAGTCAAGGTCTACTAGAACTCATTAGTTAGTGAACAAAAACATAATTTCAATCCGACAATCAAAACATTACATTGGACAAAGTGGATACCTTCTATGTTAAGACACCAACTACTTATCAAACCCTATAGGGTGTCTTCGCTCACATTAATCCACGTGAACAATTACGGATACACATCTGGCTGAGAAAATGTTGAAGGTTTTGATAAACGAGATATTAAAATGGTCAGGTAATTTTTAGAAGCGTGGTAAAAACCTCAGCTAGCAGTCAATCAATACATCGGGATCGACCTAATTAATCAACTAATGACAAAAATCATGGACAAATATATAAAACAGGGGTCAAGTTAATGGGGGAAGCAATCAAAATTACTTTACATATAACGACAAGGTAAAGGTCAATCAATCAGTGCTAATGATCAAGGCCAACAGTGAAAGCTGTTATTCATATACGGAGAAGTTAGAATATCTCGATTCTTTTAAATCCTAAGCCGATAGAAGTTATACAATCAATGAAACCTGAAGGCACTAGACGAACATTTCCTTCTGGTATGGAACTCATTATAATTGCGTATCAACGATCCCGCACGAGGGAACCGAACCCAGGACCTGCGATCTCCTGTGCAAACGTCTAGCTTCTAAACCACTGAGCTACCATTCAACGGTGTAGGGGGTGACTGGTTGAAGTTAAACAAGTACACTCACAGGATCCATCGAAGACAATAAAAAATGTTTGCGTAATATCCTGAACTAATCGCTGATTTCCTGGATACCTTTTTCCCCGGCGAGGTTGTAGATGAGTGCTACTGAGGAGTCCCACACGGGGACGAAATCTCTGTCCAGTGCTTCCAGTTTTCAATGGTTCTCTAACTTTGGTCAATTCGTGATTTTAGTGGAATCTAACAACTTCCATAACAGCATAATGATGACCGTCTCAATTCAACTTAAAGTTTACGCTGATGATATTGTTCAGAAGAACAATCAAAGTTTTACGATTAAACCAATTCTCTGAGAGAACGAAACTCCACCAAAAATTAAAGAACACTATATATCCCGATGTCTACATAAATTACTTACGCAAACAAAGTATTTAATTGTATAGCCACTGGTTCCGGTCGATATCGTGGTTTATATTGTAATCTTGGATTGTAAAATGTCACATTTCTTAGAATTTTCGATAATTCATTTAAACTTTTAGCTTGAATAATGATACTATTCAAATGAGAATTACGAATATTTGTTGTATCGAAACGATTAGTGTTTGAACTGAATGATGTTGGATCGTTGATAATTAGACGTGGTTCACAGTTGGTCAGACAAAGTATTTCCTCATCTGATTGAATATATCCATTTGTAAAGGTTAAACCAGCAAGATAACCCTTGTTTATGTATTTTCAATGGTTAGAATAAGACAGTATGTACATCAATATTACTCAATATAATAATAATAATAATAATAATAATAATAATAATAATAATAATAATAATAATAATAATAATAAAACGTAACTACGTTGGCCATCGTGAAAGTAGGACCATAATTTCACTGATTAACAAGTGACCTACATAATCCTTTTTACTAGAAATCGCTTATTTTTGAATGAGCATTATCTTTTTGCCAGCAAACCACTGAAGATATTAGGCTTTCTTTTCATTTGTTTCATCGAAGAGCCGTGTATTGTCAAGATGTTTTAAACCGGAATAGAATAATAATCCGTTGTTGTCCGGCTAATTTGGTGTATGTTGCATATTACTTTTATATCATTAAAACAACACTCATGATGATCTAATAGAACTTTATCGGGTGAACTAAGATTAGAGAGGAAATTGTATAGCTAACTCCATCACAATATCATATTAACAAAGAATTTCCCTTTGATAAGCAGCATTTTAAGTGATATTGCTTTTCTATAATCAAAAAGAGAGATTATATAATGTTGATACTGTGAACAATGCCTCTTCCCTTGCTCCAAAAGTTTACGATGGTAACAATAGAGTGAATAAAATTATGGCGCTATTCACGTTTTTTCGCCAGTCTTTGTCCATATGTAACCGGTGCTAGAGAATTTAGTTTACAGAACAATGATTCTGAAAGTTCATTAGTTTCGCGTGAATGATTTCAACATACTTTTCTTCCTTAACCCTTTATTTCAGAGTGTCAGCGAACATTAGCGTTGCATTTTAAAGAAAACGAACAACCACTACTGAATACGTCGAGCCAAGCATACATAGTTTATGTTCCACTAAACATCTACCTATTTCTTTCTCTTTCAACATACTTGATTATCAAATTTTGGAATCAAGTTCGACAAAGTATTTTTTTTCCTCACTACATTAATTCGATTTGTAGGAACTTGAGTTGATGTCTGGTTATGCCAGTTTCTACGTTGTTGATCATGTGCTGACTGCATCAAGCAATGAAAATAAACCAATAGATTTTGAAAAACAATAATAATGACAAATAAAAGACCTACGACAAAATGTTGAGCGAATTGAGCACTACGTCCATGCCAACAAGCGCCAACTGAAGTACGAACAAATTCATGATTTTTAACAGATAAATGTACCATAGGCATATTTTCAGCAATTTGCACCAGTTCAGGATTATTTGGTACTAATCTTCCATCCAAATATAATTGTAACTAAATAAACAACAGAGAAGATATTATGGCAGTGATAATGACTAATAGTTTTGTCATTTCCCAAAAGCATATATATATATATATATATATATATATATATATATATATATATATCAGTCAACTACAACGTAGGACCAGGCATATATATGCATCGATCCAAGTTGTCTCATTAGCACAACAAGATGAACACCAAATTCATTGAAACAGTCACTTCAATGGTAGTAATGCGCAATAGATTGTTTATAAGGTTATAGTACCCAAAGAAAGAATTAGAAATGTGTAAAATAATTTTAATCTCACAGTTTAAGGGAAGATAAAGAGTGTATACACTGACGTCATTGTGGTCGATTCTGAACCATGTCACACAGAGTCTCCAACCATTGTTTACGACAGTCGCGCGGACCCCAATGAAGTAGCCTGCATCTACCAACATGGCTCAGACCAGAAGTTAGTAACTTCAATGACTGATGCCACGTTTTGACTTGGCTAACTTTAACTTTTTTCTAGCCACCTCCAACTACAGTTAGCATTGTGTTTCGTGGTGATTGGTGTTCAGGCATACGTAACAGGTGGCCCAACCATCTTAGTCGATATATATATATATATATATATATATATATATATATATATGATAGATTAATTCTCGAGTTCTTTAGGAATGGTGATTTGGTGTTAGTAGTTGAGCTAACCAAAACATTAGCTAAGATCTGAAAGAAGGATGTGATCTGAGTGGTCTTGATTGATGATAGTCTCAGTCTATATCAAAGGATCAAGAAGCCTTTGTGACAGATACGGAATAGTTATTTTGACTAAACTAATGCGGTACCCAAATGTTAATCTATATAATCAGTCAACACCAAATGGTAGTCAAGGTGACCAAACCTGTATGAAACAAGCTGTTTTATGACCTATAAGAGGATGCATTGACTAGATTTGTAGAATTTGACAGGTCTTAAAACAAAAACACATACCGACATCCGAATGTAATCTTGTTTGCCAAGGTAATCCCGGCATTTCGCTCCGTCGATCGGGGAGTTTTTGATAGCACTTGTAACTTGAGGATGCATCAGAGAGATATTTAAGATTTTTAAAGCCTCTTCGCTAAAACACAATTGCTGTCTTACAGCTTGTGGAAAACTGCCATTTAAGTTGGAAACCACAAGTGTAAACTCTCCTTATACACTGGGAATGTGTAAATAATAGCATCCTGTTAGTCAACAGCTCTATAAAAACCACGATGTCTGGTGAGGTATTAGCACGGGTTCAGTAGGGTCAGTTGGTTTTTGTTGATTTAGATCACATTTATGGAAAAGATGCTCGTTTTTCAACCAAAAGATAAGTATATCGTTTAGTGGTCTGCTATATGTTACTGTATGGCTGTGAAACATAATTCATAGAAGAAGAGAAACATAGACTAAAAGTAATTGACCACAGATGTATTCGAGGCCATGCTCTATTTTATGGGACGATCAGGTGAGCAATGCTAAATTTAGACATAAGTTACTAGTGAAATATTCAAAATTAATTATTGAGGTTGTGGACCTTCATCAAGTAAGTTGGCTGGAACTTGTATTACATATGCTTAACCACCACCTACGTCTACATGTTATGCTTGTTGGTGTAGGAGTAGGTTAACAAAAAACTAGAAATGGACAAAGCACCAAATGACATTAGTCAATGAAAGCTCTGACTGTTAGGTGAGCCGTATTTAAAGATGCAAACTACCTAGTTAGGGTCATTTAATAACTTCGATTAGTTGGTTGGAGATTTTCGGATGGCATAGTTCAAACTCAATCACGGTGAAGTAGATACATGCATTCTCCAACATTAATTCACACTATTTATTAGTTGGATGAATCTCTTCTCTTCGAACCGCATTCTCCTATATCCAGTCAATATTGTTGATATCAATATTATCTGAATTACTTTGAGGTAAGTGACAACCTGGGCTGATTCACTTTCGCGTCGCCTTCTATGTGGATAATAACTCATTGATTGATTTTACATGGATCATCCATTTACTCAGTATCATTTGTTTGGGTACAGTAAATAATTATCGATATAAATATAACAATATGACAACCTATTCTTATTGTTTATTCGTTTAACTCGTAAGTGCTCACAATAAATCTATTTAAACAGTGATTGGTGGCAATTACTCTTCTTATATAAACGTTTACAACTAATTTTGTTCATATGACACATTTCTCATTACATAATGCAAATTTAATGAATGAGACCTAATGTAATAGCATCTTATTTGTTTAAAGAACGCAGAAGAAAGAAAATACACCAAACACTTTGGCAGTTCCGTTAAACTGTTGTAGTATTTAGCTTCGTGATAGCTTGTAAGTTTTTACATATGCGTTAAACCAATTGACATAATTGGGCAGTTAAGATACATAATTAATTAGTTAAGGTATATTTTAGCAGGTGAAAGACCTTTTACAAGATTTTCGCTGTAGAAAAATAGATAATATAAAGATTTGATCAGTCTATCAGGACATTTTATAATACAGAACTTCAAAACAGTCCACTCTTTTCACATGATGAACTACATGACAAAACTGATACATTCTGATCTACCTAAAATCAGGAACTACTCATAATGCGTCAGTAATTTGACCTGTTACATCCATTGAAGATTAAATACATGGTACCTTCTAGGAATTATTTATGGACTGTTATTATATATATTATTGTATAATTATTACGTAACTAGGTGAAATGTGTTTATATTTCTTTTATCATAAGCTTTCATTTGACACTTTAACTACTAATATGCGATTTACCACTTGATTTATTCCCATTCCATTAGTAATAGTTTTCTATATCGCAGCCGCGTTTGGCTGTTATTTTTCATGTGATGATGTGATGCAGCCCGATCTGCTTGTATATTAACTATGTATGTCTGAAATATATGGTTCATACATAACGGGGGTTGATATTGTGTTCTGAACTCAACAGACGAGGAAAGAGGAGAATTAATGTATCGAGGACTGATAGTGTTTTAGAGTTGAATCAAGGCTATCAGTGCTAGTTGGAGAGTTATTAGTTAGCTCATAGACAAGATCATGGAAGTCGACCTTCTGATTGGCGGTTTTTGTCACGTGATGTGGACAGGACAATAAGTCACAACATGATCAAGGTTACCAAAATGAATGTGATAACTGAGCAAACAATTTTGTATCTTATATTGAAAGACGAACTCGATGGTATATAAACATGAAACATTCAAGAGTCCGATTAGCATATCCGAGTGGTTTTCGTAACGGTGTAATTAATAACAGTTCGGCTAGGATTACTACTGTAAACTAAAAAGTAGTAAGTAAATACTTTTATTCTAATCCAAGACTCTTCGATATTTCATATGTATAACTTAATGAAAGATAGAAATCACGAGTTTCATCTCCAAGAGGGAGCACTTAACCTATAAAGCATTGTGTCGTTATACAATATTTCATATTCCCAAACTACAGAGAATCCAAGTTAAAGATGATATAAGCTCCGATAGATGACCTTAGAAGATCACTATACTAAGTAACTACTTAAAACTATAACAAAGAGTAGTGGTCCAGTAATAAACAAGTGAATGACCAAAAATAGGGATGAAGTTCTTGACAAAATCTTAATGATTATCCATTTATCTATGTTGACACAAGAATCATGTATCATCTTATGTAATTGGGTTGTCCACTTATAAAAAGTGAAATATTTGATTGTGATAATTTTACACATAAGTTCCTGAAAATTAGACGGACTGATGAAAAAAAATATTTTGTTCATCAGAAAATAAGTTAAAACTATTGGACATTTTCGGCGGGAATACACTAATGAGATTCATAATCCATTATTAAATAAGAATTGATTTATTAACTAAAAATTTTAACAATCATCAACTGTTTAGTAGTAACCAATGTCGTAGTTATCATTACCATTGTGTTACTATTATTGTATCCGTGCAGTCACTTCGTTAAGTAATTCACTGGTATGACCGAATCAGTAGGAGTCCATGGATTTTCGTTCTATCCAACTGACTAATAGTCAACAGGACATATATGTAAACTTGAGAGCAATGATCCTCTGACATTGCATTTACACTTGTGTTACTCGATGATCTAGTCAGAGACTGTCAAGTCTCAAGCAACCTGCAAACTTATTAATGAGTCGTAATCAATTATGTGCTTGTACACTCAGTAGTAGTGTCGATGCATTCACATCAGTCAGTTTACTTCAAAATTCTACATAATTCTAGTTCAAGAATACTGATGCAAAGAAACCTAAATATTTAGTATTTACAAGACAAGTGATACAGAGTATCGCTTCACAAATCGATAAAGTCTTCCTTCCATAACAGTTAACTTCTGCTGTATTGAAACTTTTAGTCACGGTGATTTCATGTCTAACCGATTTCGGGATCAAAGTTTATAACCCTATACAGATGGGAAAATCAATCAAAATGAAAGGAATACTCGATGAAAAACGAACACAATATACTGACTTCAATATCACTTTCTGAGTTGGATGCAAGTGTCTTTTGTCCATTTACAAGTATCGTTTCTGGTGGACGATAGGTCAACGAATAATGATGCCAATTCGAATCGCATACTTCGTCGACATCGAAACGCCATTGAGATGGAAGTAATTGAGACGAATCAGAATATAGGGTGGATTCATTGGTTGGTTCACGACGTATCAATACAACCAGTTTACAATTGTGCAGAAACACAGCAAAATGATGCCGATTCTTTTCTTCAACACAATAATAATTATTATGATTATAATTATAATAACAATAGTATCTATTAGTCCAATGATATCGTTTTTACAATAAGTGGTTGTAAGAGGGAATGAAATTGCATTTGTGCTGACAAATCAGTTGACAAATGTTTGAGCGAACTTAAAAAATTGATGCCAACTAGCATGGTTGAGGTCAGGCACAACTCTTTCAACGTTAATTCAGTATGTTGTATCCAGCACTCGCGGTGAATTTCAGTTCACATATGTATTATAAATGTTGGAGTTTGAAATGTAGTCTGTGGTGAAAATCATATTTCGATTTATAGTATTCATCCATCCACGAAATGAACGAAAACACGACCCAAAGTGCCGGAAACAACACACCGATTGAACGCCAGAAACGTTGTAAACAACCCTAGCCAGCAAGCACCATTCAATTTACGAAATGATACAGCGTCCACATTGCCTAGCATAGATAGGAATAAGTTCATTTTGGCATCGTTCAATCGAACTGACATGATTTAAAGCAAAGTAATTTCCTATGCATACTGTTAATTCGGGTTCTAACCAAAACATATATTAATAAAAATTATCTATAAATGATGTCATCGCTGAAGGATTGAATAATCAGAACTCTCGTATTGGTAAGACTGTTTAAAAACGTCAACAAGTTTATCAAATCTGTCGAAATTCTCAGACCGTTGTCTCACAACATCGTTTTGTAGATTTTTCAATGCGTACGAATTCAAACATTGCGATGATGGTAATAATAATGAGTTGTTCATCGGAGTATATGAGGCCTAACAAAGGACCTAAATGTAAATTGATCTTTTCTCATATGGTTGATTAATTGTGGAAAAAATAATTCGCTTACAGATATGAAGGATTTGTTTCACAGTGTTCATAATTAATAGGCTACGTGAAATCACTAGATACGTTCACGTTTTACAACGTTTTCAGTAGGATTCGTGATTGTAATTGCTTAAGTATTCAAGTAGCTGATTTATGATATCCAGTTTTGAAAGTCAGTTTTCGGAGTCTCTATTTTGGGAGTATGCTACAGTTTCACTATAGTGAATAATTTAAAGTGCGACCTGTCTAACCGATAGTCAGGGTTATAACAATGATTTTCAAAGAATCTTATGGAGAAAGAACGGGTACAGTTTTACAAATGTAGTAGTCTCTTCCACCAAGAAAAATCAAATTTACAACTGCACATTGTAGCGAAATATGTCGCTCGCCAATGAAGACACAAAAGAGTTATACGTGATTCCTCTCAACGATCCCGACAAGTATGAAACAATAGGTGGATATTTGTTCGATGTCCGATAAACTGGGAAAACAATAGAAGGAATTAAACAACTTAACTTAACATGGTCATTAAATGTGTCTGTGGAGGTCATCGTTTGTATATTGATTTCATAATTCCTCTTTTATGCAAAATAAAATCGCATAATGTTTTGATGTACAATGAACTTCTAAAAGCTTATTATTTGTCTGCAAAAGTTATTGTCATACTGGATGATTAAAGAATATTACAAAATAGCATATACATTAAAATTTTTATCAACATAATGAAAAAATATAATTTAGTGATGATAGAGATTATATTCTATTAGCTGGATGATTTAATTGTGTCGCTTTAAATGCTGTCCAAAAAGGCACTCTCATCATCATCATCATCAATTTCTTCTTTAAACAACCGATAAAGATATGGTGTAATGGAACTATTCAGCTCATAGAATACAATATTAACCTAACAATCCACAAAATATAAAGTAGCAGGTAATTAATGATTCTTCAACTGATCATAGTTTGTATTTAAAGTTGTATTCGACAAAGAAGAAATATTCACTTCACCTATTATATTATTCACTTGTAATCTAAATTCAAAAGGGAAATAATAATAAAACAAACAATAACGAAAGAGGGACTTCGTGAATATTATAGTAATTTAGTAGTTGAATTTATGGGTCAATTGAAGCCACTAGGTTTTCCATGGTGATCTAGCTCACTAGTGACTAGTTACGTGAGGGTATTCTCGGAGTTCTAGTAAGAATCCGCGACCAGTAGAGCTAATCCATGTCAGGTAGAGACAGGTATCTACCTCAGCACAATGGAAGATGGTCGCACAATTTCGTGGATTAGTTGAAGTTAGACATTAACACTGTTGGATACCGGCTGGTTCAATAGTCTAGACATTAAGTGTTCACGCGCAAGACTGGTAGGTTCTTGGGTTCGAAACCTGCGAGGCAGGATCGTGGATTCGCACTGCCTAGGAGGAGTTCCACACTAGAACAAAACGGCCATTCAGTGCTTCCAGATATTCAATGGTTGTCTAAAATCAATCAATTCATGATCTCAATCAATTACTAAAACAATAACAATAACAGCTACTTACCATATTCATCGGAACTGCATAAAATGTTCTCCCGATTATTCAGTAAATTCTTTTCATTATATTGTTTATTAAATATTGGTGAATGTTTCATCCAAAAATTGATTGTAAATAATTGATTATCAAATCGTTGTAATTTATGAAATTTGTTTAAATCAAAATGCATGGAACCATTAAAATAATAAATACCAGATGGATAACCTTTTTTATTGATTTTAGGCAATTCATTTAATCCTTGAATGGTTTCAATAATTGGTAAATTGATATGATTATTTTGATTGAATTGTTGTTGTTCATCAATATCTGGTAATAGATCGATAGTTTTACTTTGAGAAGAATCGACTGAAAAAAACAAAACAACACAACTCTAGATGGTGAATATGTGCAATGATACTAGGCTACAGAATATATCATTTCGATTGATTTCGAACCATGATAATATCCAATGGTTTCAGTCATTATTGATTAAGATACTTAGTGTTAAGATTTATATCTTCATATATTATTTAGATCGGGCATCAATGATCTCAATACATTGTTGGCATATTTTGTTTTAACTGATTTTACACTTTTTCAAACTTACTCCCAGTATAGTTATTGTTTAAGTCCTTTGAAATAAGCGATGACTGGGCATTCATGGTACATTAATAAATTTAGTTTAATATTTTCATTGGTCAATTTGTTGTTTTGACCAAATTGATGGTTTGATAGTAAGAGAGGAATGGTTCCAAGTTATCTGTGGTTGAATACGGGCAACGTGTCAAAGTACTCAAACTTCGAGATCCATCGTTTACAACCATAAGTAGTTAAAATGGACTGCTGTGCACTATCCTGAGTAAAATCTGACCCAGAACTTCACGTAGTTCTTGGGGGAGGGGTATAGGATTGTGCATCATTAACCAGCATGGGAAGTCGATAGATATCGGTCTAAACAATCACTATCGTGAAAATAAATCCAAAAATCAGGTTTTAACTCGTGCTGGACAATAAAGGGTGTAGCACTTATGAATATGTATGGGTTTTGAGGGTAATATGTTGATTTGATTCGTATCTTTCAGGTTTATATAGTGCATATTTGGACAAAAAAGAAACGTTACATGGACCGTATTCATGCTAACATGTATAATGGGAGTACATGAGTTTCTGATCTGTGCATTTCAAATCCTCATTTTTTGTGTAGTCGGATAACTAAAATTTAACACTAATGGGCAACAAAAGAAGGGAAGCGGAGCGAATCCTCCCCTTCTATAGTGGCATATATGCTTAAGTCGATTTTATTTGTGTAACTCAGGTGTGTGCAATGTATACTTGTCACAAAGATCAGTTTCAAACTGTCTTCTTAAACTGAGTAGCAAATATCTAAATAACCGTAAAATCTTAACAGTTGTCCCTATGGCGTTCGTAATCGATTTCCGCTTGACACATACATCCTAGCTCAGGTATGTCTGCCCGTATGAACATGTAAACTTGTCCAGGCACTATAACTTCCGATCAATAAACAGATGAATGCCTTTACTGAGTTACGAATATTAAAAGTTAGTAAGAGGCAAAAAATATTAGATAGTTGGGACTGGACACCACCAAATGATGATCTTTGTATACGGAAAGATAAATTACATAAACTTTATTTAGTTAGTTATAGATAGTTACTAAATCATAGATTATATTGTAAAGAGATTGAACTCTCCAACATAAACTAAGTAGACTATGATCTCTTGGTTCAGTTTAAAAAAATGGATTGATTTTTATAGGTATGTACAGTCTTAGGGAGTCTTAAGATTGAACCGAAGATGCTTTTCAATTTTAAATAATTCAGAACTGAAATCTATAACTACCACTTTTAGCGATGAGAGTTCTAATTCCCCCAAAATTAATTATAAATTACTAAGTAACTAAAATATTTGGAAATACGAAGTGCCTCAATCCATGACTTCCAATACGGATACAACACTCGAAATATGCTTATCCAACTAGTTATGTGAGTGAGCAGATTGAGAAATGGCTAGGAATAATTAAATATATAAATCCTTGACGTTCATATATTTGTTCTTTTGAGCATAACAAAGATATGTACACTATAACTCTGAAGAAGAGCACAATCGAAGTCCTTTTATAAAGTGGCCTCGTCTGAAACTTCTCACCTAACATTTGACCTTAGGCTAGTATGTGAAAGCAAGTGTATAATCACGAATTACAGATTATGTACTGTACTATTCGGAAGTTTTAATCTAAGACGTTCAAAGTTATCTATAATTCGATAGTTTATAGTTGTTCACCAACTGGTACTATCTTGTAATGAAAATAATAAACTCTCTACAAAAAAAATCAATTGAAAATATACCTAAACCAAGTAACAATTACTTACTGCATGTTTTACGATTAGCCATTATTGAATAATAATCTAAATCACATTCTGAAGAAGAAGATGCTATTGTTGTTGCTGCCGCCGCCGATAATGATGAAGATGGTTGAATAGTTTGATCATCATTTATAATAATATCTTCTTTACTCCATAAAATTTTCATACGTATTGTTACTTGTTCTATTGGACAATAATCATATTCAGTGATTCCTTCACTTAAATGATCAGAGCTATCATTCATTGTATCATCATTATCAGTATTAATAAGATGAGTAAAATTATTATTTGTTTGTGGACAAATTAAAAATTTTGCATTCAATGCAAATGGATATGGATTTGATAATGCAGAATACTCAATTTCTTTAGGGATACCTAAAAGTAAATTTTTAAAAAAATTGATAAGAAATAAGAAGATGAATTTTACCCCAGATAGTCGTCTATCATGAAATTCCATTGCGAAATTAACATGATTTAAACAGTGTATCCCCGACAATATATCAGCTGAAGCACTGAAGTCAGACATCGAAGTAACTACAAACATGCTTCACTTTCTATTCAAAAAGATTTGGAAGGAGGAACAAGTGTTGATGGACAGTAAAGAAGGACACCTCATCAAGATTCCAAAGAAAGGAGACCTGAGTAAATGTGAAAACTACCATCAGCAACAGCCTTTTGTAGAAGAGAATAAACCAGCTTCCAGCTCAAGAGGAAATTAGGAAAAGACGATGGAAGTTGATAGGACATACACTACGCAAATCGTCAAACTGCATCACGAGACAAGCACTAACTTGGAATCCTGAAGGAAGGGGGAAAAGAGGAAGGCCAAAGAACACATTACGTCGGGAAATAAAAGCAGATATGGAAAGGATGAATAACAACTGTAAGGAGCTGGGAAGGATTGCCGAGGACAGGGTTGGATGGCGAATGGTGGTGAGCGGCCTACGTTCATTCACGAGGAGTGACAGGAGTAAGTAAGTAAGTAAACAGTGTATCATCCATCAGAATCATTTTGTTTTGGTTTAGTAGTGCAAAAAGGAAACATACTCACATATGGTAGATTATTATAAGGAAACAATACGCAACTACCACAATATTATTAATCTCTGCTACTTTTAGATTTGATGTCAATAATAATGAGGGTTGTGTAACCGATTTTATATTATTTCTTAAAATTGTAATGATGATTACAATAGTTGTGTAATCAGTTATTGACTCATGATTTCAACTATTGAAATTTGTAAAAATCTCCACAAAACACCTTCTGATAATAATCAACTGCTCCCTAGTGACTGACTTCAGGAGATACTCCTGGAGTTCTAGTGAGAAGCCGTTATCAGTGGAGTTCAACCAGATCTGTTGTGAGATATCAGCCTACTGAAGACAATGGTGTACGGTGGCGCAACTTCGTGGATTGGTTAGAGCTAGACATTAAAACTGTTGCATGCCGGCTGTCTCAGTGGTCTAATGTTTAAGTGCTCGTGCGCGAACCCAGTAGGTCCTGGGTTCGAATCTCGCGGGACGCGAGATAATGGATGTGCACTCCTGAGGAGTCCCATACTAGGACGAAACGGCCGTCCAGTGCTCCCAGGTTTTCCATGGTGGTCTAGCTTCAATTGACTCTTGATTTCAACCTGTGAAATTTCTAAAAATCTCCACAAAAGCCATTCTGATAATCAATTATTAATTGTTTTAACTTATGGTTTATCACTTCGGATCGATAAATTACAAATATTCATTTAAGTAGAAGAGATTTAGTGAATGGTAAAGAGTAAAAGGATAGAAAAAAAGTAAATATAAAGCACAAAGAAACAGTTTGTAATTCAATAATTGAATTCATGAGTTAATTGAAGCTAGAAAACCATGGAAAACGTGGAAGCACTGGAAGGCCGTTTCGTTCTATCATATGACTCCTCAGCAGTGCACACTCACGATATTCGAACCCAGGACCTACCAGTCCCGCGTGCGACTGCTCAACAACTAGACCAATGAGCCGGCATCCAACGGTGTTATAGTCTAACTTCAACCAATCCACGAAGTTTTACATTACATTTATTGACTCAAATTTATAATTTTGTAAACTATAGGGTAGTTATTGTTACTGATTATAAAACTGGATAAAAACGGTTGTGCTATACAAGATTCAGTAAGTATTGAAGCGTCTACAAAAATCACCTCAGAAATAAGTACCAGATTATTGAGTTTGAAATCACTTTGACGTACATTATCCAAATACCATTTAATGTAACCAGCTTTCTGTTCAGTAGTTCAAACTAAAGTGCAATATTTCAGTTTTTTTTAGGAAAAACTCACGATCAATTTTACTGTTATTAGTAAGTATTGTATACTACCTGGATTCAGTAAGTCAGGGGTTAATGTGTTAGTGGTTAATGAGAGGGGTAATGGGTTTAAGTCCCAATACAAAAATAAACACTGGGACTTATATACATTCAGCTGACAAGTCTTATATAGGCCAAAACATATGATGTGGATCTCACTCTCAGAAGATTTTCATGTTCATTTACAATCACGTAGTCTGACAATTAAAATAAGTAGATAAACGTTAAAAGTGAGCATAAGTCAAAGATATATTCATTTGATCATTTGTAATGTTGTATATACACTCAAGCTATTGTAATAAAGCAAATATCTAATCACTAAAACAGTAAAGCGTCAAAAACAATAGGTATCATATAATATATTTCGATATAAGGCGAAATGAAATAAACAGGATACAAGTAGACATTAGAAAACTAAAAGCATGAATCAACTAGGTGAGCTACTATGGGTGTGTGTGTGTGTGACTATATTAAGTTAAGAAGCACAGTTATTCGTGAACATACACAAATATTTAGAGGAATCAAAATTCAATTAGCTTGTAGTATAATGGAAAAATTAAAAATTACAAGTGTCAATATGTAACATTTGTGTTTTTTTTTTGTTGTTGTTGTTGTTGAAAATACTGAAGTTTTCTTTCTACGTACATAAACTTACACACATAAATAGATAAATGTTTCATCTTTTCTTTCTACAGTTCTATTCCATTAAAATACTATTATGATATAATAACCAGACAAAGGCGACTAGAGATATACAATAAAGATTCGTACACATTCATATACACACTGATACACCTATATTATTCACGGTTAAGTAATTTTTCTATACAGAATTTTTATGTAATAAACCTACAGTAAGTAGGCAATCCATTTAAACAATGTTAAATGGAAGAGTAGGAGTGAGGGGGAGAGAGAGAGATTAGGTAACTATTGACAAAGGAAATGAATATTTCATTTTTTGTCTTTAGTAGTGTATGGGAGATGGAATGTTGACGGTAAAAACTCAATTAATCGGGGAAATTATTCACAAAATAGTACATAATACTACTACTACTACTGATAATAATAATAATGATAATAATAATAATAATAATGATAATAATAATAATAAATGTCGCTTCAGTCAATACTGAATAATTAGAACAATATGTAACTTTCAGCCCATAAAGTAGTTTTTCGGTAGGAAAATAGTATGTATGTAGTTACAATTTACATTAATAGATTGGAAACATTTTAATTTGATGTATAAAAAATGTTGAATAGGCGTATAAGATCATTTGGAGTTCAAAGACTGATTAAGAAGCAGTACTGTAACGTAAGCAGACATGGACTAAAGGTATTGTACATTTAATGTGAGATCGAAAGAACTTAAAATTATTGGACTAGCATTATCGACAACATTTTCAACGGCAAACTTTGATATTGTTTCCAGAGTTTACGATAGAATAATAAGCTTGTGGAAATTCACTGTACATTAAAACATTCAGCGATTTTAATTACATGTTTGGAAAAAATATTGTGCATAAAACAGAAATTACGAAGTCAATATACAAACTGTGACCTCCACAGACACATTCAGTATATTGTGATCGTTTTTCATCGAGTATTCCTTTCATTTTGATTGATTTTCCCATCTGAACAGGATTATAAACTTTGATCCCGGAATCGGTTAGACATGAAATCACCGTGACTAAAAGTTTGAATACAACACAAGTTAACTGTTATGGAAGGAAGACTTTATCGATTTGTGAAGCGATACTCTGTATCAGTTGTCTTGTAACTACTAAATATTTAGGTTTCTTTGCATTAGTATTCTTCAACTAGAACTATGTAGAATTTTGAAGCAGACTGACTGATGTGAGTGCATCAACACAACTACTGGGTGTACAAGCACATAATTGAATACTACTCATTAATAAGTTTGCAGGTTGCTTGAGACTTGACAGTCTCTGACTAGATCATCGAGTAACACAAGTGTAAATGCAATGTCAGAGGATCATTGCTCTCAAGTTTACATATATGTCCTGTTGACTATTAGTCAGTTGGATAGAACGAAAATCCATGGACTCCTACTGATTCGGTCATACCAGTGAATTACTTAACGAAGTGACTGCACGGATACAATAATAGTAACACAATGGTAATGATAACTACGACTTTGGTTAATACTGAACAGTTGAATGTTATTAATTATCTGACTGATAAGTAGATTATGAAGCAAATAGAATATTATAGTACAAACTAATGTTTAAGCTTCATTCCACATTTAATTATGTCATCCAGAGTAATTTATAAAACTAATCTTTCTACCTGATATCAATAAGAGAAAATGGTGGGACTATAATTTATGGACGAACCAATCAGGTGTAAGTTAACAGGTCTCGGAGTTTGTCGCGAAATTCACTCATCCATTTGGCAAAATGGAATTTCGGCATTATTACTTATTTCAGTTCGTAATGAAAACCCTTAATGTAATTCCTAACCCTAACGATCAACTGTAAATCATAATTCTAATTTCTCATATTGGTTTATAACCCCCATTTGGTCCTAGTTATAGGATGGACACACTCAACGTTACTTTAGCGTCATTAAAAGGTCGTCCACAAATTATTTTCACTGTATTATTTTGCAGTTCACCACATATCTGATATTGATTATTACTGATTAACTATATATTGTCAATTACATAAACTTTCTTAATCTCTAAAGTAAGTAGGCTATTTATGAAAAGTTTTAATCGTTAACTTATATAACGAAAAGTTTAACACAATTATCTAATGACTCTAGATGAAGCTATATACATATAAAAATAATACTCTTACCATTCCATTGTGATACACATACTGCTTTTACATAAACTGTTACCGGTACTGTAGAACTGTACGGTATTGGAAGATGACAATCGAATCCAGTTACATTGAATTCATATAACATATCTGTATGATTATTAAATCTTATTAAAGATCGGATAACACCTGAAATTTATTAATGAATGATAGAACAAATAAATTAGATTAATGAAGAAATTATTTTCATTTTAACTCAATTAAATTATTAATTACTGTTAGCAGTGACCAGTGGAGTTCAACCGAGTCTATTGTGAGATAGTAATTTACTGATAACAATGTTGGATGTGTCGCTCAATTTCGTAGATTGGTTGAAGTTAGACATTAACACCGTTGGATGCCAGTTGTCTCAGTGGTCTAGATGTTAAGCACTCACGCGTGAAACTGATAGGTCCTGGGTTCAAACCTCACCGGGCGGGATCGTGTGTGCGCCCTTTTAGGCAGTCCTACAATGGGACGATACGGCCGTTCAGTGCTTTCACATCTTCCATGATTGTCTAGCTTCAAATGACTTATGATCTCAACTATTAAAATTAACTTATTTATTAACAATAAAAAATTTCTAAATAATAAATGCAAACAATTTAATATCATCTGTGAAGAATCAGTGAGAATCAATAGTGATGAAAAGCTGTTTTGTTCTAATCTGGAACTCTTCAGAACTGTATAATAACAGATCCATACGGAATCAAACCTAGCATCTTCCGATCTGGTATATATACGATGACACTATCTGAACAATAGATTCAAAAAGGGCCCGATTTAATGAGCATGAACATGCATGATCTTCAGTGGGGTCTCATACTTGAGTGAAACAGTTGTCCATTACTTCCTCGTTTTCAGTAATTGTCTAACTAAGGCCAGTTTGTGATTTTAGCCGTAGAACTCAAAAATCTTAGAGAACGTCTTAAAAATATCAATATCTAATTTCTTAGTAGTATGATAATCAGTATATAGTTGAAAATTAGTCGCTTTTAGTCGATGTTATTCACCGACCGATCCCAAGAATATTAGTTACACTGAACTCAATTAATGATACACATAGTCAAGCATCGAAGTCATGTATATGTATCGAATGTAAATACTTTAATTGACTGTGGAAGATATATATACTGTTATATCAGTACTGTTTTCTTCATTACTCACGAATAACTATGTATATACGGCATTTATGAGTACAATGTATTGGAACTCTGATTTCAGAGTGTGCTTGATTCTGTTGAAGATAATCATTATGAATAAAAATTACAAAAGAACAAAGATTTCACGATCCCAAGGTCTTGATGGCAGTCAAAAACTTATATAGGGTATGAATATATGTTAGATCCTAAAGTTAGATAAACAATCAATGAAATTCTACCCAGAAACCAAATTATCCAAAATGAAGTGATGCGCTGTTTTGTCTTTGTAAATAAACGTTAGGAAGCAAACGCTTTAAAGCACTAATAAACACTCAAATTATTATTATAAACGGTAAATAACCTACTTATAGCATTATCTACAGAAATTCACGAAAACATTCAAAATTGCGTATTTTAAGATAGAGTAATTTATTTTTTCATGAAGAACGAACTAAACTCGTCCTCTATTAAATGACAACCATAATTAATCATCTTTATTTTTAAATAATCCTTACAAGTTAAGTGTTAACACATAACCTTTCCCAAATCATCTTTCAGCGTCCTCATCAAAATAAACTAATCAAATATATACTACTGTTTAACATTTTGAGTAGCTGGATACCACATTTCTACAGAGAAAGTACTGTTTCAGCACTACAATATTGATATCATTACCTACATTTTCTACTTTTAAACACTTCATTGAACTTGATCCCTAAACCTTTTAAAAACCGATACTTAAGACTTAAATTTTTCACAGAATCTAAAGGTTAGTAGTGCAGTTACAAACTTCTTCATCGTTCTACAAAGTCTCAGGTAATGTGGCAAAATTAACGGTTTATCACATCTGGTGAAAAGAGACCAAAACTACATCAACATCTTGAATTGATCAAAGGTATCGTTTAGTTGATGAAGGGATTTGGAAGATAATCATTAAGAACTACCCATAAATACTCCTAAGACAGTTTAGTGGTAATTTAAATGTTAAAACTGAGATGATAACCTATATATCTACATATAATTCATTTTATGTAATTTTGAAAAGATGATATCTTCAGATCTGTATTACTACACTGTTGTCTTTAGACCCACTGACCAATGTCACATATCAAGTTGTTATCCGGAAAACTAACTTTACCTTGATGTGTTTCGCTTCTAGTGCGACAGTTTAGTTAGTATCCCCAAATTGACTAATTACTAACCTTGGACCGATGCAGCTAAGTTCCTTTTGATTCGTTACTTGCAATCTCTTGTTTTGAGTAGGAACGAGACTCGACCACATTTATGCTTCAGACAGACATGGTTTATATACAGAGCTACTGGACCACGTCATGGCATAAAATGAAACTAACAGTTATACATAAACAAGCCAAAAGTCGGTATGAATAGGGGGACTGTGATAAACAGATTGAAAAGAAGTTAGGAATATTAAATCATATGATAAAAGTTTTAGGGTTAATCGAAAGCTCATGGTAAACGAAATACATAGAAACAGAAATCTAGTTACTCAGTTACTATGCAACAAAATTATAGTTAAAAATAATATGAAAAAAACCGGTTCCAAATTCCGCTATAACAAACGTTATATACCATGAGCATTTACTGGAACTGCATCAATTTTGGAGATTTTTCTCTTAGTAAAAAAATTATGATTTATATACTTTTTTAAATAGATACAAAAACTAAGTTTGTGCAATAAACGTGCTGTAAAACTATGACAGTATACCATTTAAAATGAGTTCTCAGTACAAAACTAATGTTGAAATTCAACTTAAGACAAGAATAAATGAAATATTCAAGATGTATAACAAAACAACGACCAAATATATTCAGGACATTTACTAAAACATACAACTGGGGCATATATTACGCTAAGTAACAGACTAATAAGAGTACAAATAAGCCGAGTAACACGACGAAGAGTGGGTTACAATGGTGGAAATGTATTCAACCCTTATCATCTTTGAGATCTTAAATTTTAAAATTATCCTATACTATTTATATTCCATAAATTCATTATTTTCCCCTATGACTGATAACATCGTTAATTTTATTATTCTAGTATTTTTTTTGTAAGACTTTAATTTATGGACGACCTTTGAGTGGCACTAAAATGATCTCGAGAGTGTTCACCTGATAACAAGGACCAAATTAGGGTTATAAACTAGTGTGAGGAATTAGAATTATGATTTACAGTTGATGGTAGGATTAGGAATTAGATTTAGGGTTTCATCACGAACTTATATTAGCTATAATGACAAGACGCTATTTAGCTAAATGGATGAGTGAATTTCGCGCCAAAATCCGAGACCTGTCAACTTACACCTGATTGGTTCCTCCATAAATTATAGTCTCGCTTTTCTTTTTAATAATAGTTACATCTCGTTATGTTCATATATTGTGACAGCTTAAACTGATTTGTCAAATCCTATGATGCTTACGGTTGACTGACTATATTCAAGGTAGTAGCACTCTAATCGCTTTACATAACCATTTACCATTTTTTTCTAAAAAAAATAGACGGCTAATAAGAGAGAAAGCAATCTAAAAATAAGTGAGAAGTATGATTTTTTGGATTTTAGCTCGATTTTATCGTGAATTGCCATTATAATTTTGATTAATATGGTGTACGTACATACCTATTGTTGCTAATTTTTTTTCCATCACAAGTTATAGCTGAAAATAAACTGAAAAATTTAAAAATTGAATTCACGAGTCAATTGAAGCTAGACAACCATGGAAAACCTGGAAGTATTGGACGGCCGTTTCATCCTGGTATGGGACTTGTCAGACGTGAGCATCCACAACCGCCCCCCATGAGATTCGAACCCATGACCTATCAGTCTCGCGCGCGAACGCTTAACCTCTAGACCACTGAACTGGATTAGACTGTGTAGAAAATACATCTAGTTTGCAAACTTAAATATTTTGCCAGTTATAAGTGTCATTATTACCAAGGTTTGATTTAATAATTGAGTATTGCATATTAATATTTATTCGTAGATATCTCTGATGTTTCGTGACTCAGTGTAAGCCACTTCTTCAGAGAATAAACAACCCAAATTTGTTTTTTCCAGTTGATTAAATAAAATGAAAAAACAACTCAAAACAATAATTTGCAAAGTGAAGCGATGTATTTGTTTATCGCTTTTGTTTTCAATACATTAACAAGATATGCATATAGCATAACATAATTGATATTATTAGTTCAAATCATTCATGTGTAATATTACGGTGGAGTGTATTGATAAATTTTATTCAATACACATTGAACTAAATAGTCATATACAATGTAAAACCTGGATACAACAGTTCAATTTGATAGATTTTATTAGTAAAACGAGATGAAATTATCAGTACAAATCTTAGATTTTTAATTAAGATCATGAATCGATTGATGTTAGATCAACATTGAATATCTGGAAGCACTGGACGGCCATTTCATCTTATTGTGGAACTCCTCAGCAGTGCGCATACATGATCCCGCTCGCAGGATTCAAACCCAGGACCTTCAGGCTCGCACGCGAACGCTTAACCTCTTGACCACTCGAATAGCCGGCATCCAACAGTGTTAATGTCTAAATTCAACCAATCTTCCATTGTACTGAGGTAGATACCTGTCTCTACCCGACACGGATTACCTCCACTGGTCACGACTTCTCACTAGAATTACGAGAATTTTCTCACGATGCTAGTCACTAGTGAGCATATGATGATTATAATCAGAGAAGGGTTTTTGTGGATATTATAGTAATTTAATGGTTGAATTCATCAGTGAATTAAAGCTAGACCACCAGCGTTCAGTGGTCTAACTTCAATGAAAACATGAATTCAACTATCAAAAGACAAGATTGTTTGTGAAAATGGACTGCTAAATTACAAATGACTTTATACGTACATTTCATACACATTTATAAGTAGACAGCATAGTTACATGGTAAACTTGGTTAGCTACATTGTCTACCGACTTACATGCTATAACTAGATTATGCTTTCTTCTTACTTACC